AAGGTAGATACTATTTTCAACTGAAATTATGTAATCAAGTTAAAGAGAAATAATATACTGTTTTGTGCACATATTAACACTTGCCAGTTTGATAAATATAGCATGAAGGTGTAAGCAAATTTTTATGAAAATGGACGAACCGAGCCAGCCGGTTCATTTTCATTACAAGTAAATTTTGGGTATTCTGAACTTAGAACTTTCCGAATTGTCGACTTCTTGGTTTTACCAATCAACTCGAAAATAGGACTTAGTATAGCTTCTTCACTTACACTGTCTTGATTGCTGTTGTATCTTGGTAGCAACTATTTTTAATCATGTGAACCTCTGCAGACTGATTGGGAGGGCGGCTATTACCCATTGACTATGAACTTCAGTGAAGATTATCCAAGCAAGCCACCGAAGTGTAAATTCCCTCAAGGTTTCTTTCATCCGAATGTTTATCCATCTGGAACTGTTTGCCTCTCAATTCTCAATGAAGATAGTGTAAGTATTCTCTGTATTGTGCTACCATTTTCATGTTGAGCAAATATTGACATTGTCTGTGATTAATTGCTCCCAATGGTTATGCTTGTTTTTTTTTTAACTACTAGGGGTGGCGACCAGCCATAACAGTGAAGCAAATTTTAGTTGGCGTTCAGGATCTGTTGGATCAGCCAAACCCTGCTGATCCAGCTCAAACTGAAGGGTATCACTTGTTCATTCAGGTAATAGAGCCTGACCTGAATTATTTGGAAATTAGAATACATTATCAGGAGTTTTGGCACAATCCTATTAGAATCAGTTTATCACATTGAGCCTCCAGTAGTTTTCCAATTGGTCGTGATGATGTGTAGAGCTAGTTTTCTTCGATTTTCTGCTTGCTGATTTTATTCCTCATTTTTTTTCCTAGTTTCTTGTTGGTTGGTTTTTTTGGGGTGGGGTGGGGTGTTGGAATTGGCTGTTGTGCAATTTGTACTATGATTTTGGTGCCTGCTGTCATAATTAGAAGTCTGATAAACCAAAAACACCAATTTATCACTTGTTCGTCTTCATTAATGTGGAAACCGACCATGTAGTTTTTCTTTTTTAGGAGTGTCTGCTTTTAACAAGCAGCTTTCTTGGATGATTTTTGCTGAAATAGCTTCCGTTTATATCGCTTGTAAAGGGGTCGATATAGCAAACCTATCAACTTCAACACGAGCCTGACCCTCCCATGTGTGCATGTGCGAAAAACCCAAACTGAATATAAGACAAAAGGCATGAATTTAAGTGAGGAAATCGTGGAGGAGAAGTGCTATGTTCAATAAGTAGAAAGGTAGTTTAGGAGTGATGTTTTCATTCAAGTACTGACTCAGTTTGAAACATGTGCAGGATGTTGTGGAATACAAGAGGAGGGTTCGTCAGCAGGCCAAGCAGTATCCTCCACTTGTCTGAATATGGAACGGTTCAGTTTTAAGTCATTGTTAGAACTTCTATTCAGACTTCTTTTTCGGGAAGTGTTCTATTTTGTGTGTGATGATGGATTAGCCAATAATTGGCGCGTGTTTTAGTGATGATTGAACTTTCATTGTGCATCGAGACTCCTACTTGAGTTGAGTTGCTATTGGTTTCTCAAAATTGTGTGAAATTACCCTTGGAGGAATGATTGGAATAATATAATTTGTGAGACTACGTATCACAGTGTCTTTTATAGCTAATATCATTTTGGATGCTTTCTTTTTGTGTACAAGTTGATATGTACCCATCTTTGTGAACATTTGACATTATTCTCGGGCAACTCTAATCTTCCTCTTATCGATTAATTTTGAATTGAACGTAGTTTTTAGAACTATTGTAAGCGTTTATGCTCATGTGAAATATGGGTTGTTGAAACATAGCACGTACGTTGTCATTTATATGGTATGTGGATGTTCATAGATTGTAATTGGACTGCCAATAAAGCGAAGGTGGAATTGTTTTACAATGGAAAATAGTTGAAGTTTCATATTTGAGAAATGATGACTTATTTCACTATTGAAGTTGATCGTTATACAAGCATAAAATGTACTTACGCGAAATAGTTTAGTAGACTACTATAACATGAATATGCTCCCAAAGTTGGTCTTTGATAAAATGAAAAATATTATCGTTCATCCCATATATTCGTATATTTTCATTTTCAATTAGTAAATAAGTACATACGTGTGAAGGCCTGGTCAAAAGCCCCTAATTGCTTTTTGACTTTTTCACAAGTGAATAATTCCAAAGTGGCCTATTTGAGTTCAAAAGACAAAAAACGCCCTTAAGTGTATAAAACAGTTACAAAATATGGATTTGTTAAAAAGACAATACTA